GCTCACGGTCGCGGACAGGGCCCGTTGGCGACCCGTAGGCGTCCATGATGAGCATCACGGTCGTAGTAGGATGGACGTACTTGGCGGCGACGGCGGCGCCGACGACGTCCATGCGCTCGAGCACCGGGCCTTGGCTGAGCCACTGCCCGCGCAGGCTCTCTTCGCCCTACGGATGGATGCATTAGTCGCATGCGGCCATGCATGGAGGCGACGCCTACGATGATGTCGGCGAAGGACATGTGCGTCGACTCAAGCGCGATGCTGCTGCTCTTCCGCGTCGTCGTCATCATCGTCGTCGTCCGGGGGCCGCGCCCAAGATGCAAATTTTGTAGTTTCCGCCACATTGCAACCAGATCGGAAACTAACCAAGATCCGTCAACATTGAAATCCGGATACGCAGAAAATCCGGATACCATCAAGATCATGGCCGAACTCGCTGGGACGACTCGGCTCGCTGACTACAGTCGTCATACCTACACCAAGCTCACTGCTGTCTATCGCAACGCGATCGAGGCGTCCACTGCATTGCAGTATAAATAAGCACTGCCCTGGCTATAAAAGTACATGTAGCGTTGCAGTTCCCTAGTCATTTTTGTAGCGATTCTTTGTCTATCTCTATTCTGGGTTATGTACGTTGTCTAAATCTTGATGCTCATCTTGTCTTGCTGCCGGGTCGAGAACGGGACGGGAAACTGATTGTTGGAGAGCGGGATAGGCGGGAATTGGTGCAAGTGCTGGCCTTCCAAGTCGAATTCCCAGCGCTTCTGCGCCTTCAGAAGGTAGCGCATGCCATCCTGGTCGGCTTCATCGACCGCGAGACCCGTCTTGATGAACGCCGGGCGCTGCGCTGCGTCGAGGTTGACGCACGTAAAGTATCCCGAGTGCGACTTCTTCTTCTCGCCCGACCCCATGCGCTCGACAAACACCTCGACTTCGACCTCGAGCGTGTGGCGGCTACCATACAGAGATGTCATATAAGACAATATTCCTGTGCATCAAGTAGACTGTACCGGACGCTCACAACGTGCGCGCGCATCGACACAATGTCCTCGGTGGTCACAGGCGACTTGAAGCTAATGCGGTTAACCGACACGGTCGCCATGTTGACGCTCTTGCAAAATTTCTTGGCACAGAACGCCGCGACCTTGTCCTAAAGAACGCATAATTAACGACGCGGTCACGGAGGATCGATGTGCGTACCATCCATTGGAGAAGGTCACCGCCAAAGATCGTGTTGTTGTTGTTGAGGTGCTTGGGCATGAACCAGTTTTGGACCTCAACGAGCGTGTCCCGCACGGGCACGAACGACTGCCGGTACTTGCTCAGCTCGAATTCCTGAAGCATGTCGGCAGTGACACGCGGCAGTGCATCGACGTCTTCCTGCACCGCGTTCCAGCGGGCCGCAAGCTCCTTGCGCTGCTGCGCCTTCTCCGCCCTATCCAAAAATCAGAAAGGATTCTCGACAGTAATACTCTATAGACCCACCGATCGTCCATCATGGTTGGGTCGATCTCGGACGTCATCGGCGGCAGCGACGGCCGCGGCCGGCCCTGGCCATCGATGGCCACGAGCGTAATGATGGCGTCGTGCGTGTGCTGGATGTCGCCTGTCAAGACGTCGACGCGGTACCCCGTGATCTGGATCGAGGTCGCCGACCGGCTCGCGTTGAGCACTTGGCCTTCGAGGCGGAAGAGGTCGCCGTAGAAGACGGGGCGGTGCGACCGGACCTGGTCGAGGCTGATCGTCGCCGCGGGGCCCTTCGTGAGCTTGGCCGAGATCGCAAAGCCGAGGACGTCCATGCGCTCGAGGATCGGGCCGTGGTTGAGCCACCGGCCGCGCGCGCCGCCATCGTCGTCCTAGTACCAAGAGTAAGATCGTATAGAATCAAGATATGGATATTCTCGTACAATGATGTCCGCGTACGACATGCGCGTCGACTCGATCGAGACGGGCGTGAGAATCGGCGACGACGCAAAGGACCGGGCGAGCGACTTGCGGAGCGCGAGCATGTTGATGAAATTACGAAATGGATGCACACGTGGATGGCGAGGATGCCCCGTGGCGATTACTTGGCACGGTTTCTGCGACATGTCGATGGAAATCACGTTGCTAAACCCGATTGGATTGGCTCGCGGGCCAAAAGTGCACACGCCGCACGTGCCACCGAGTGTCGAGACGACTCGAACGAGTTTGCCGTTGAAGTTGCGACGACTGTCACATGTTGGGTCCGGACAGGCGCGCCGGCCGATCTTGATGGCGCCACATCTCGCCTCTGCGAGAACGGTATACGCCTAGCATTGTTCCCAGGACTTGGTGCAAGTCTGATAAAGGTATCCAAGGTCGCCTTCGCCTATCCAATGCAACATTCATGGTGTGCAGTGGACACCATGCGCGAGGTAGCGTCGACGGCAGGATGGAATCCTGCATCCTGACATGGTCGCGTCAACGTCCTCGATTGGTCAACGCTGGCGCATGTCGGCACGGCATCCATACCAGCCGCCAGCTAGACGTCGAGCAGCCGAAGTCCACAAACAGTCCCTCGCGCATCTTGCAGGGAATCGAAGTTTAGAGAGAAGCTGGCAGTCGCAATATGCATGCAATGAATGATACGATCAGTAGCACGGCGCCCTGGAAGACCACATGCCGTACCGATAGATCGCAGTTTTCGGCTGGGATCTTGACCACACGTTAAGTTGACAAAGCGCTTTTATGTAGGTGCACGAGCCCTCACGTTCCAATGCGATGGATTGAACCCACCATCAATCCCGATCCAAGATCTGAGATGCTTTCTAACGTTAAATAACATGCCAATGGGATACTCCCTTGTGGCGACGCAATTTGCAATATAACACGGGAAATGGCCCACGAGATTTCCACCGTGGCGTACAGCAAAGCACACGTTTCACACACGTAGTATTCCGGATAGGAAATTGATTATCCGTAGCACCGGCCGGCCGCAGAGCTTTTAGGTCCACCGCTCTGATGCCCGGGACGATCTGGATCGACGACGAGGAAGCGCTTGTCTTCGACTTCGAGGCCGCGCTGCCTGCGCTCCTCGCCGCTGCTTCGACGGCGCTGCCGCAGGACGAAGATGCGAAGAAGGACTTTAAGCGAGGTACAGTCGTCTGCCGGCATTGGCTGCGCGGCCTCTGCATGAAGGGCGACAACTGCGAGTTTCTGCATCAGTTCGATATGTCCAAGATGCCCGAGTGTCGATGGGGCATGGAGTGCCAAGTGCCCGAGTGTCCCTTCCGCCACGTGCCCGACGAGGACCGCATGGAGTGCGCGTTCTACAAGCAAGGCTTTTGCTCCCATGGCAGCGCGTGCCGGTACCGCCACGTCAAGCTGCCGCGCGACGAGTGCCCCGTCATCGCCGACTTTGGCCTCCAGAGCAAGGCCGCCGAAGAAGAGAGCGCCAAGCGCCGCAAGACACAGGTACCTACCTGCTCGCCTCCTCGCATCTCATGTTCGTTGCCTTAGCCCGTGAACGAGTTCTTCAAGATCGCGATCTGCAAGCACTGGGAGAAGCAGGGTACATGTCCGTTTGGCGACGAGTGCCATTTCGCCCACGGCGAGAAGGAGCTGCGGCCGTTCCCCAAGGATGCGGGGAAGGGCGACCACCACCATGGCGGCGGTGGCGACCG